GTGGCAGATCTAGGAATTTTTGGCGCACGAGCTAAAAAATAAAAGTCAATATAATAAATTTATATATTATATTAAAGTCAAATTCATTTAATTTGAAGTTGTTCTCGACGAGGTTTTGAAACATAAAATTCATCTATCACCAAATCTATATCCATCTTTTGAGCAAGTTCTCATTTGATGAAGAGTGTCATACAACCAGTAAGAAATTCATCCTCCATTTTGTTACGAAGATCCGTATTCACATATTTCATTGTTGAAAATACTTGCTCAATAGTCACGATAGAAACTGGTAAAGTCAGTATAAGACGAATCAGTCTAGTAACCATAATATAAATCTCTAATTTTCTACTCTCAATTAACTGTCGACATAACTTAACAAGTGTAGATATTTGAAAACAAGATTCAGTCTTCATATCTAGCTCATAGTGTCGCAACTCATATTCCAAAATACAAATATCTTGCTTTGGAAAATCTACAAGATAGAATTTCTCAGCAAGTGTACGAATATCGTGACTGTTAAATGATGCAAATGAATCTCTAGGATCCAAAGCTGCACTGAGTGTGAGAAGTTTAACTGATGTATCATTGAATCTTGTATTTAATTTCATCAATACGTAATCTATTGTTCATTGAAAACATCAAAGTGATAATGATTTTTCATTGTAATTGGATCATGAGAACGACAAGGACCCTTTCTAGGTCAGGTATCTCAATATCATGTTTTGAGCAAAACTTTTTCACTTCCTCAAAAAATTCTTCCCTATCATCGTCTCTTAATTTGTGGAGGAGTTTTGTTGTAGTAGAAACAAATCTCATAGCGGTTTCATTAAATCTTTAGCTCTTCTCTCACACAAATTATGTTCTGATTATCGCAAATGAATAAGAAATACACATTTTGCTCCATCATGGAACCTCTTCCATTGGTTATATCCAGAAGTTACCAATGCCGAACAATTTGACATACTACCATCATTCCGAAAAAGATAACAATCAAAGCGATATGCTTTATCCGTTGTAGGTGAATACTCTAACAAAGAAAACTGGTTGAACCATTTTGCTTGAAAGCAACGAGACTGAGATTTTCCTTGTGTCTTAGGATACTTAACAAGTCTTGATTGATAAAGTCCAGTTTTTAGATATGCCACTTTAATCTCACCCCACATATTAGAAGGAAATTCTAGTATTTGCTTTCTTTTCCCCGGTTCCTGTTCAATGCTAATATTTGAGGATAAATTATGTTCAACTTCTGGAGGAAATGAAGGTAGATCTTCAGTTAGTCCATCAAAAGTTGAACTTTCAGTAGGTCGATCAACCCTTTAGAAGAACGAAAACAAGTTCTTATTCTTCTCAGACCTTCCATTTTCAATTCTTAAAATTGCAAAAAAAAAAAAAAAAGGGGGTAAAAAGAGAAAAAATCAATCATCAGTGATTATTCTAGCGACAATCCAAAAATAATTCACTAAATTGACAAGGTAACAACAACAATCATTAAACCAACACGAAGACGACAATAACAATCATTAAGCCGACAAGGCAACAACTAGTTATTAAGTCGACAATGCAACATTTCAACAATAGTTAATTAACTAATTCAATATTTTGCAAGCGAGAGCACAAGTGGAGAGACGAGGGCATTTACTTACAATGGAGTATATTAAGCTTTTGCAATTTGCTTTTCCTATATGTCCGTTGGACCGAGATTGCATCTGTACCTTGATAATGATAAATTTATTGCATTTTTGAAATTGAAGAATAATTCAATTAAGCATGTTGACAATCGAATTCTCAAAACAGAAATTTTAAAAATGCTTAAAATAGAAAGTTTCAAAAACAAAAAATTATCAAGGCGGCCATTTCAATTTTCAACAAATTATAAATAATAAAAAAAAGAAAAGAAAAGAAAACTCCGATTTTTTAAAAACTCATACTCAATAATCAATATTAAAGACAAATATATATAAAAAATTGTCCAAGTTATAAAATCTAAGTTACTACCGAGTCGTACAAGCATATTTTTTTTTATATATATATATTTTTTATTTACTTTACAGTTAATGCAATTGGTTCTTTTTTGTATTTTGTGAAAATCATTCAAGATGACAAGACATATTTATTTGTGATTTAAACCACAGTTTTTTTAATTTGTGACTTTATTAAGAATCCCCATACGAGTTATAAAAGGCTCTTCGCCTCTTCTTCACCCGATCGAATCACCTCCCATTTCCTATACAACTATACAAGCCATTCAGAGAGAGAGAGAAAATGGAGAAGGACCAGATTCATAGAAGGTATTCAGGCTGAGCAATCTCTATAAGACGGTTTTCCATTTTCCTCTACGGCTTTGCGGCACCAACTACAGTTCAAAATCCATTGTCTTGTCCCAGCAAAATACACTTTCAAGAAATGAAATCTTTGATTTGGGTAATGGGTTCCTTAATTTTATAGAAATTTTGGATTGAAAATTTGAAAAATAGGTTGGAGTCTTTGAGAATGGAAAGACCGAGAGAGAGGAATCGCCATTTCCGTTTGATTTTGATTTCTAACTTGTGTGGACCTATTGGTTGTCAAAAGAAGGATTCATATTGGATTAGAATTAGGTTTGGTTTGGGTTTGGTCTTAGGTTTAAATGGATAATAAAATTTATGCTTTGATTGGGCCAAAAAAATAAAATTGGGCCATTTGCTCATTTTGTTGCAACTAGGTTTACACCACACGGGCTGATTTTCAATTTTACATGGGCTGAACCAAAAATAAATAAATAAATGTGAAAATTACAAAAATCCAGGCATTTAAAGATCTCAATGCAAAAATCAGGTAGGAAGGTTTTTTATTCAGAATTCAGATATTAATTTAAATAATAATATTAATACTAAATATTTCATCCCCAATTCATCCCTAAAATTCAATTTTAGGGCATCTTCTCTCCTCACTCTCTCTAGTTAACCCACATATCCTATGCCGCCGTCCATTGCTGGAGACCAAGCCCACAGTCGAAGACCATCGTCGAACTCACATCGACGATCGTTGTTGGAGACCACACCATACCATCGCCTACTGCTCACTCAGGCCGAAGTGCAGCAGCTGAGTCTTACGGCCATTGGAAATTTCACCGGTGATTCATGGCATTTGCCTGGGGTTTGAGAGCCAATTCTTCTCTGCTCACTACGATGACGATGCAATTGCAAGAGTACTTCTTCTCTGCTCAATTTTTGCTGGTCGACGTTGCTGCGAATGGCAGTGTCGCGATGGTATGGTGTTGTG